AATCTTGGTAAGAGCGTGTGATGCTTGTGTATAGATCTATACGGGACTGACAATATCACACCTAAGTTGGTAGCTATAGCCAGACTGGTTGGTCTGGGGTGACAAATATCTAACATTCTGACGCCTGAAGAACGTCGTGGCGTGCCACCTTCGGTTTTAACATGGTTGTAATAACTCACATGGCAAATCAACAATACATATAATTTATGGGGTAACAAGCATTCAAATGGTTTTATATAAGAATAAAACTACGTAATACTATTTTAAGTATAGAAAACTTACACATTTTTGGTATTAGGATTTTAGGACTACAACTCATTCTAAGAAAAGAATGGATTTTCTAGGAACAAATACTATCATTTTTACGAGGAAAGAATTACAGATTTTTGTCCATACAAAACTCTTATGAACTCACCAACTTAATTGTTGATATTTTTCAAAACTACTTTTATTCTCAAGAAACCGTTAAATAGATAGTCATAAGGCTTTTGAGGATGGGACGTTATGGCGTCGTACTATTTATTTTTGTCATCATAATGTAATTGGTTTTGAAACATACAATATCTAGAGACAATGTAACATTCTCAACTATATTTATGATGGTTGTGTATGGTTTGATCACTATTATACATTATATTATAATACTGTTCATAAAGTCATCCATCCCAGATGTTTCCGCCATCTTGGTTGAGGGGATGTGACAAGATGGTTCGGCAATAAACTCGCACACACACACACACACACAGAGCTAGAGAGAGAGAGAGAGAGAGAGAGAGAGAGATGCCATCATAGTTTCATGTGAATGGCATACGACATCTTGGTTTAGGGGATGTGAAAAGATGGTTCGACAATAAACTCGCGTCTGTGTGTGTACACACACACACACACACACACACACACATATATATATATATATATATATATATATATATATATATATATATATATATAATATATATATATATATATATATATATATATAAAGAGAGAGAGAGATGCCATCATAGTTTCATGTGAATGGGATAGGGTGATCGCCAGAAATAAAGGTGAATGTTGGAGATGGAAGACACTATAGAGTTCGAGATTGTGATGGTGACATGATTCAACTTAGGGTGTGTATTTCCATTTTCAACTAAATAACATAAATGGTCTGTAAAATTCCAAAAATTACAAAAGAAAAATCGGAAAAAATGGGACATTTGTGTCATCCTACATCTATCAAATGGAGACATGTGGAGGGTAAGCATTTGAAGGGATTAAAACTGCCAATCATATGACAACCAAGGATGTCATCTATATTTTAGAAACTTGGACTAAGACATGTCAACCACATGGTTAAAATTGTAATCAACTCAACATTTATCTAACCATGGTCATTGAACTTGATCATTTTTGTAATATGATATTTCTGAATCGTATACGATGTAAAACACACACCGTCAGATAAAACGATTTTTCTAGATGGTCAAGATTTTTGTAAAGCAGTTGAGTTATAATAATAAGAAAATCATATATTATTGGAACATTCATACTCAATATTTGGTCTTATCATATGATAAAGAAAACACAAGTAGCACCACATCAACCCTTTCGAGGCTTCTTCCAATTCCTCTAAATAAAGAATCAGCCAACTCCATTTTTGCTCTATAAAAGCTCTCCCATGTTCTTGTTCATCTCCCAGAAATACTCGATTTTGATCTTCAAAAGCTTCAAAAATGGGAAAATTTATAAACTTTCTTTTTTGCATTTTGATATCAAATTCGATCGTATCTTTAGCTCAACAAGATTGCAGTTCTTATAACTTCAGAAACAACGAAATCTATGCAACGTGTGTGAGTTTACCTGTTCAAAATTCGAATCTTCACTGGAACTACCACCCGACCAACGGCACCGTCGATGTGGTTTACCGGCACACCGGAGTTTCAACGTCGACGTGGGTGGCTTGGGCTCTGAACCTAAACGGGTCGGGTATGCTTGGAGCTCAAGCTCTTGTTGCTTTACCCAACTCAAACGGATCCGTTCAAGGCTATACATCGGCGGTTACCAGCTACGGCACGGGGCTGCAACAGTCTCCGTTGAACTTCGCCGTGCCAGCGATCAGGGCGGAGAGGGTGAACGGCGATGTTTTGATTCATGCGACTTTGGTTTTGCCGGGTGGGAGAACGAGTTTTAATCAGGTTTGGCAGTCGGGTCCGGTTTCTAACGGAGCTCCGGGTGCTCATGCTTTGGGTTCTGAGAATAGAAACTCGCTAGGAACGGTGGATTTCATCACCGGTCAGACTGGTGCCGGCGCCGCCGTTGGTGGTTCACTGCTTCACCGGAGAAACGTAAGCTTTTCTTTTTCATATTATCTCTTTTAACATATAATACGCAAAAGGTACAGGTGATTGATTAAATTATTTTTTGTTGATTTGACAGACGCATGGAGTGTTAAACGCTGTGAGTTGGGGAATACTTATGCCGATGGGAGCTATGGTGGCGCGTTACGTGAAAGTATTCAAGGTCGCTAATCCCGCCTGGTTTTACATTCACATCGCCTGTCAAGCCACCGCCTACGGCGTCGGAGTCGCCGGATGGGGTACCGGATTGAAGCTCGGCAGCGACTCCGAGGGTATCAAGTACACTTCTCACCGGAACATCGGGATCACCCTCTTCGTCCTCGGAACTCTACAGGTATTTGCGCTGCTGTTGAGGCCGAAGCCAGACAACAAATACAGGAAGTATTGGAACATCTACCATGGCGGCGTTGGGTACACCGTCATCATTCTCGCAATCATCAACGTCTTTAAAGGACTCGATATTTTGGATCCGGAGAAGAAATGGAAGCATGCTTACATCGGTGTTCTTATATCCCTTGGCGCCATTGCAGCCATCTTGGAAGCTTTTACGTGGTTCATTGTTTTGAACAGAAAGAAGGAGGAGAAGCAGGTGAACGGTGCTCATGGAGCGAACGGTTATGGTCACAGCCATCGCCAGCCGGCGTAAGGCAGTGTGTTGGGCGGCAGAGCTTCAAGACTTGGTTGTTGCTCCCAGTTTTGATTGGTAGTTATAGTTCATGTTTATACATCTGTTTTTGTTGAGGTTGATTATTGTTGGTATTTATATTCTTTTTTCTCATGGTTGTAATTTTTTAATGTATAAATAATAGTATAATCTATTTACACATGTATTTGTATGTTGAGATTTACTTTGAAAACTTATGGATATTTGAACACATTTGATAAAAAATATTACATGTTAACTACTTTTTCAAAAAAAAAATTGATACTACATTTGTTCAAAAACCGAACATTTAAAGGCATACCATATCCATCCCAAATTAATTGTTTAATTTTATTTATTTTTGAGTTTTGAAGGATTTTTTAAATAATTTTGACCTAAAATATTTTCATTATATTATATATTATTTAATAAAACTTATAATAATAAAAAATTATTTAAAATACAATCCATTCATATATTTTATATCAAGTATCATCTATCAAAACAAAAAAAAACTAAAAGTTAATGTTGAATAATAAAGACTTAAAAAGTTAAATGTAGACAATTAAATTGGGACGGGTGTAATATTTCCAAACATCGTATGATTTTTGAACATTTTTATAGAGTTAAAATATTTTTAAAAATAGCACAATACAGTTTTTGAAACTAGATTGAAGCATAAGGGTGAAAACTCTTCTTCAAGCTACGTAAATAAAATAGATATAACTCAATTTTCTTGAAAGTGTTGTTGATATCACATTGAGATTAAATAATGTTCAAACATACAAAAGTCAAAGATCGTTAGGAATTACATACGGTTGGTTGTCCCAAAATTCATCAAATTTGAATGTAATACTTTGTTATGAGAAGACTACTTTGTTCCCGTTAGTTGTTGTAAACTTTCTCTTATACTCATTTAGTGATATGTTACCATTCTTTAAATGATATTTTCTACTTGAAGTTTTCAGTATATCTAAAGGCACAAGACTTTTCTTTCAACCTTTTATTGAATTATTCCTAAGACCACTTATAAACTATCTTCTTTCCAAAGGTGTCCTATAAGGTTTCCCACTATATTAATGCATAATCTTTGGGATAACTGGAAGCATAAATCACTATCTCTTTCTTCTTAAGACTGTTACTTTCTAGAACTCTTTCGGTTTCCAGAATCCACTACATTGTAACTTTTGGTTTCAAGCTACATGATAATCTTTAGGTTTACATGCCATGAAAGACTTAAACGATCATCCTTTCCATCCTTCCAATTCAATATCACTATCTCTAACATGAAATGAATCTCCACCATGGTTATTACTGCAGAAAGATTTTATCTGTGAAGAACGAGAAGAAAGTTGTTAAGTTTCTTCTAGACGTGTATCAAGACACTACTAGAAAATTGGTGCAATAGCTACGGCACAATCCGTAGCTATTCCGTAGCTATAAGCAGATAGCTACGGAATTGCTACGGAAAATTGGTTGTAGCATAATGGCCCGTGGCTAAATTATAGCTACGGATTAGCTACAGAATCGCTACGGAATAGCTATGGAATATTCCATAGCTCCTATAGCTACGGAATAGCTACGGAATTAAATAGCTACGGATTTCCTACAGAATAGTTACGGCACTAGATAGCTACGGAAGTAAATAGCTACGGAATAGCTACAGATACAAATAACTACGAAATAGCTACGGAACCAAATAGCTACGGAATAGTTACGGAACAAGACAGCTACGAAATCGCTACGAAAGTAAATAGCTACGGAAATCCGTAGCTATTCCGTAGCTAACTTCGTTTTATTTAAAAAAAATAATAATTTAAAATTTTCCAATTTTTTGTCAAATACCACATTCAATTCACATTTGTCCCAAATACCATATAAAATACACCAAAAAACGCCCGTAATACCAAGTTTGACACATTTCAATCCATTATCCAAAATATCTTACAAAAGTTAGCACTACTTAACAAAACAAACAATATCAAATGTTTACAAACTAAATTGTTCCAAAATACTTATCAATTGTCCTCAGCTGGATTATCGAGGGGAGCACGGGGTTGATTTCCAGACATATTCATCATCCTCATAACCATTTCCATTTGTTCTTTCATTTGTTGTTGTTGTTGTTCCATGGTAGAAACTTGTGCACGCGACCTATCAACCTAAAAAAATGGCAACACAATGCAATAGTTAAACAATATTATCAATGTACTTTAGTTTATTATATCAATATTATCAACATACTAATTAATGTTTAAACCATAAAAACATACCTCTTGTTGTGTACTATCCGATTGGGTGGATTAGGAAGACGGTGTCCCAGTAATCACAAAATGTATATCTGATGCTCCTATGCCATAGATATCACCCTTCTTTTTTCCTTTTCTCCCAAGTTGAATTCCCTCCCATACCCTCGCATCATCTTTATGGTTTGAAGAGTCTTCTCCGTGTTTTTTGACCATCTCCTGTAGATACATCTCCTACAAATTACCAAAGAAGTATCATTGTCATGTACAAAAATACTAAGACAATCAATATATATAAATGATAAAAGATAAGTTACGTGTGCTTCTTTGGCAGTTAGTGAGCAATATTCGAGATTTTCATGATCTCCCGCAAAATATCTTTTTTCCCGCAAAATAGGGAGTCGTGTTTGAATTATTAGGACTAAACCCATCAGTGCACAACCCGAGACGTATATTGCGCTTCTCATTTGCAAAATCAGGAAATTTTCTGTCAAAATGATTCCACGCTTCACCTTCACTGGGATCTATCATCTTTTCTGGATCTACTAAATGATCTGCATGCCAAGTTAAATGTTTGGCCGTCTTCCTTGAATAGAAGAGCCTTTGGAGTCTCGGTCCAATCGGCATGTAAGTCATGACCAAATTAGGAACCTTTATCCCTTTGGCTTTGTATATATTTTCTCCACATACTGCACAATGATCCAAATCAGCAAACTGGCCCCTAAATAGCATGCAATGGTTTATACATACATGAATCCGTTCTGAAGGCAATTTTAGTGGCTTCAACATTTTCTTGGTCTCGTAGAAGCTATTAGGAAGCTTCTCGCCAGTTAGTAGAATGTCTTTAACAATCAAAAGAAGTGTATCAAATGACGTGTCTGAAACATTAGATTGGGATTTCCAATCCAATAATCTAGTGGTGGCAGAGAGTGTGGAAGTTTTTGTACACCCGTCCCATAAAGGCTCACTCGCTTGTTTCAAAACTTTATAAAAATTTTGGGCTTCAAGATTTGGGTGTTGTGGTGTTTGTTGATAATACGAAGTCTCAGGTTGGTGCATGCTATCGATAACCATCTCCTCGTATCTATGATAATCACTAAAATCGTTATTAATGTGTTGAACTGTTTCAATATTCGAACTTGGACCCACGTGTTGAGGTGAGATTAGGTTTGAACATTGACCTATCTCTAGTGTTAGATATTTTTCTCCATGTAAATAACATTGTGTATAACCATTCATGAAGCCTCGGTTAACAAGATGGCTAAAAACTAATTCTCTCGAAAGGTAATAAATATTTTTGCATTTCTCACACGGACATCTAATTTCAAAAACTTCCGCCCCTTCCCTAATGATATGTTGGATGTTTGTTGCGTTCACATAAGCAAAATCCAAAAACAAATTAACATAATGTGGCCATTGTGGATTAAACAAACGATGATTATCGAGTCTCTTTGTGTACATCCATTCTCTATTAGACAACATTTCGATCTAAAACTACATTCAGATATAAAAAATGTTAAAACTTTAAACTAAACATGAAGTAATAGTGTAACATCTCATTTAATCTAATATATATAACTAATGATACATAAAAAGCCCATAAAAATTATTAACATAATACACATACATAATACACATATATAACTAATGATACATATATAACATCCCATTTAATCTAACATTTTTAACAAATTTATAAAATTAGCCTAACATTTCAACAAAATTAACATTTTTAACAAATTAAAGTTCACAACATTTTTTATATATCACATTTCAACAAAATTAACATTTTTAACAAATTGAAATTATCCAAATATTCAACCAAGCTATGAAATTAACCAAATATTCAACCAAATTAAATCTAAATCCTTAAATTCGACATCACATTCAACAAAACATATCAATGAATAAAGCATCTAAATTGTATATATCAAGTAATTTCAAAAAAAAAAAAAAAAAAACACTAGGGTTTTACCTTTTTAAGGAAGAATCGAGCAAAAGGCCGAGAGAGAGAAGGGAGGTGCGCCGGAGAAGAAAGTCGGCGACGACAGCGCTCGAGAGGGGGAAGAAAAATCGTCGGCGGTTGTCCACGAACGAGAGGGGGGGGGGGGGAGTTTCAGTTTGTTTTTTTTCTACGCATTAGCTACGGCCTGCAAAAAAAACGTGGGTGAGATTCTAACTCAGGTTGCCTACGTACAATAACACAAACTTACCAACCGGCCGAGCATGCCACATCCATGCCAACATGGTTGACTATTCTATTTAAACATCTTATTATTATTATTATTATTATTATTATTATTATTATTATTATTATTATTATTATTATTATTATTATTATTATTTCAGGCATCAAAAGTCGAGTGCACAAATGGGATCCATTACTCGTTTAATGGTTTAAAACTATAATTTTATCATCTACGTTCACATATAAATACTCACAAACACGTATACATAGACATATACACATACATATATACCACAAATTATTCATGTATACAAACATAAACCAATCACTACTTGGTAAAAAATATAATCATTATATTGTTAAATTGTGCAACGAGTACTTGATCCCGAGGTGTAAACGACTTTATGAATGATATTAATAGCTATAAGTTGGTGAAAATAGAGATAATCATTTATAATAGAGGTGTGAGAAAAACGAAGTGGAAAAACGACGTTTGGTGCCCGGAAAATAGAACATAAGTATAATCCGTAGCTAATCCGTAGCTAATTAGCTACGGACTAACTACAAAATTCTAATGGAAAGCATATTCCGTAGCTAATTAGCTACGGATTAGCTACGGAATGTGCTTTCCGTTAGAATTCCGTAGCTAGTTCGTAGCTAATTAGCTACAGATTAGCTACGGATAATTCTTATTTTCGATTTTTCGGGCACCAAAAGTCGTTTTTTCCGCTTCGTTTTTTTTACACCTCTATTATACATGATTATCTCTATTTTCAAAAACTTTTAGCTATTAATGTCATTCATAAAGTTGTGTGCACATACGGGATCCATTACACGTTTAATGGTTTAAAACTCTAATGCTTATCATCTACATTCACATATAAATACTCACAAAAACGTATACATACACATATACACATACATATATACCACAACTCATTCATGTGTACAAACATAAATCCATCACAAGTTGGTGAAAAATATAGTCATTATATTGTTAAACCATTAAACGAGTACTTGATCCCGAAGGTGCGCAAGACTTTATGAATGATATTAATAGCTAAAAGTTGGTGAAAATAGAGATAATCATGTATAATAGAGGTGTGAAAAAAACGAAGCGAAAAAAAACGACGTTTGGTGCCCGAAAAACTGAAAATAAGAATTATCCGTAGACCGTAGCTAATTAGCTACGGACTAGCTACGGAATTCTAACGGAAAGCACATTCCGTAGCTAATTAGCTACGGAATAGCTACGGAATGTGCTTTCCGTTAGAATTCCGTAGTTAGTCCGTAGCTAATTAGCTACGGATAGCTACTGATAAATCTTATTTTTGAAAAATCGGGCACCAAACGTCGTTTTTTTTTTGTTTCGTTTTTTTCACACATCTATTATACATGATTATCTATATTTTCACCAACTTATAGCTATTAATATCATTCATAAAGTCGTGTGCATATACGAGATCCATTACTCGTTTAATGGTTTAACACGCTTATGATCTACATTCACATATAAATACGCACAAACACGTATACACACACATACACGTACACATATACCACAACTCTTTCATGTATGTAAATATACATATACAAAAATAAATTCATCACAATTTGGTGAAAAATATAGTAATTACATTGTTAAAACTGTGAAACGAATACTTGATCCCGAAGGTGCACACGACTTTATTAATGCTATTAATATCTATAAGTTGGTGAAAGTATAGATAATCATGTATAGTAGAGGTGTAAAAAAAACGAAGCAAAAAAAACGACGTTTGGTGCGCGAAAAATAGAAAATAAAAAAATTACGTAGCTAATTAGCTACGGAGTTGCTACGGATTTTATTATTTTTGATGTTCCGGGCATTAAACATCGGTTTTTTTCTCTTCGTTTTTTTACCCACCTCTATTATACACAATTATCTTTATTTTCAACAACTTATAGTCATTAATAGTGTTGATACAATCGTTTGCACATTCGAGATCCTTTATTCATTTAATGGTTTAATATTATATCCGTAGCTATTCCGTAGCCATTTTGTAAGCTAATTAGCTACGGAATAGCTACGGGTTGACATCCATAACTATTCCGTAGCTATTCTGAAGCTAATTAGTTACAGAATGACTATGGAGTAGCATCCGTAGTGATGCCGTAGCTATTCCGTAGCTAATTAGCTACGAAATACCTACGGAATTGCATCTGTAGTTATTTCGTAGCTATTCCGTTACTAAATTAGGGCGTCCCATTCTGTAGCTAATCCGTAGCTAATTAGCTATGGAAATTTTCCGTACCTATTATCCGTAGGAAAACACCTTTTTTTCTAGTGGTGAGAATACGATTCACATATTCTTTTACTTTGTCTCTCATAGTATCCAAGAGATTTTTGATAACTTGAAGGGTTATTAATGTTTGATTTGTATTGTTTCCAAAATGACTCTTGTTATTGTGACACCCGCAATTTTGGTCAACAAAAGTCCACAAAAGTCCGCTGAAATAACTTAGGTTAAAATGGTGAAACGTAATTTTCATAAGCTTCCTAAAAGTGTTATTGTATTTTTAATACTACATACGCCATTTTAAATTAATTATCAAATAAGCGCTTTAATTATGAATAACATAATATAGTAGCATAAAAATTCAATAAATCACACAAATATTATTTTGATATAAGCAATATTCATAAACAAGGTATTTGTGTTTCGAATCCGTAGACATATAGAATGTCTAAAACGGACCTCACATTTATAAGTTATGATGATTTAGTTACAGAAAATGATAAATATACATCGGTTATCGGCTCTAAATGTACTACAATATGCAATAAACAATAATTATAAAGTATCGAAACACACCTTATAGAACATAATATGACCTAGCATTTAATTTTGTACTCCGGTTATTTTTCCGGAAAAATGTAATATGACTAAAAAACGAAATTTTACCGCGTTTGAACGCTCATATTTTTATATAACGGACTAAAAAACTGTTAAATTATAAGGTTTTAATATTACTATTAATAATATTATTTAACATTATTATTATTTATTATACCTTACAAATTTCACAATTTCACAATACTTTTTGCTACACTTTTATAAAAACACCAAGATTTATAAGAGACTATTTTGCTACACTTTTATAAAAACACCAAGATTTATAAGAGACTGAATTTTTTTTTTTTTTTTTTTTTTTTTTTTTTTTTTTTTTTTTATAAAAACTAACTAGAGACAAATCATGCATCCTCTGGCAACCAAACTCTCTTTTCCCAACTTCACCATGATCATATTTATATATAATAATCAGAGAGTAATATCTTGAATTTTCTATCAAAAAACCTTAACCTTAATTAAATAATTAAAGGAGCTTATCTTAACACTTCCCCATGCAAACAACCCCACTCTCCTTCATCTCCTTTCTTATTTACTGCCAAGAAGAGCCATCCCCACCCCCATTTCATCTTAAAGTCTCGTTAAGGTCCCTCCAAGAGCTTTCAAGTTGTTTCCAAGGTTTTTTCAAGTGTTTAGCAAATGTTTTGGTAAGTTCTCCCTTCATATTTCGACTTCTATCCACCCTTTATCATAATCTTTTGGTTACCATATTCAAATTCTTGAACCAAAAGCCGTATAGGAAAGATCTTGAAGTTTCAATAAGGTGTTATCTCCCAAGACTTGATTCTTATCCCCATCTAATGATGTAACGCCTGTGTTTCTGGGCAAACCATTAAAGATGATGCAATAGTCTAGGTCAACTATTGTAGTGCGTTTTGAAGTAATAAAATGAATTATGTGAATTTATGTACCTTATATTTAATTATGATAATATAAAAAATTAAGGATAAAAAATAAGCGACAAAAATAAAACGTTACATAAACCCGATATCTACGAAGAATGTTGTAGTGGTGGTAACAAGGATTCCAGAGATATAAAGAACACCGAAAACCGAGTTATAACGAAGAAGTTATGACATGCCGAAGTTTTGCGACAGAATCGATACGATGTTGTGTGACGTAAAGAGTGAGTTTACGATAAACTGTTTTTTAGCCTTAGT